AAGCTGACAGATGAACCTCTTGCCCTGCGAGATAGAGAGAATAGGAGACCCTCGGACTTCCATTCCTTCTTTCAAGAGACCTCGGTTTTCTGTCCGGGGCAATTTCTCGCCCCACGCATTCGACAGTTGAGCAAAAGCTGCAGTATACCACTCCTCCCGGACAAGATCTCACATAGGACCTAGGTAATCAGTATCTCAATGTGCAGGCTGTATTGTACACTCCGTAAGCACTACCAATACGTAGACACAGGACGATCAGGTCATCGACAGCATAGAAAAAAAAAGACGCCTTAATGCCGCCCCCCCCAGCACATATCCAAGTTCCTTCAAAGCCCAAAAGACGTGTCCTTCCCGAATCTGTGCAGTTCGTCCTTGTACTCGTCGTCGCTGCTCGAGAAGGGCCAGACGTTTCCAGAGCCCAGGATGGATTCCGCCTGGTTGGTTGGTGGAAGGAAGTGTCGGTGAGTCTCTGAGGCCATGACTCCTCTTCTACCGGACTTACCTCATCTTTCGAGAGAGACGAATTGTAAACGTGGAAGTCGCGCGACCAGGTGTCGATACACGCATAGTGTTCGGTGTGGTGCAGCCCGGCGCGGGTGGGAAAGTCGCCCGCGGCGCCGCCATCCCCGTAGCACCAGTGGTGCTCGTTTCCCGGGAGGACAAGGATGGCCCACTTCCCCATAGTCTTGTCACGACTATCCCAGGTGTTTATTGTCTACATTGTTGATCAGGGTTTCTAAGAGGATCGAGGGGTGGCGGAGTGGCCTTCTGTTTTCTGATTCGGAGGGGCAGGTGGAGAGAAATGCGCTGGCGGACAACAAACAACAAGTTAGGTCTAATGGAGAGATCTTTATCGTGCACACCGCACCTCGCGGCCTCGCGGCGGGCTTTATACGCGACTCGCGAATGTCGATCTGACGTGAATGGTCAAGGCCGTGACATACATGGAAATCGAATAGGGGGCGCGGAGGAACTTGGGCTGGGTCCGAGATGGTGGAGCCTCAAGATGGCTCTTAATGTCATGGACTGGCTGGGCTGGCTAGCTGATGATCCACAGGATCGCGAGCTGAGATCGGGGGAGATTCAGCTCACACTTCCCGACAAGCTGGACGACTAGGCAACGAGTGGGGGGGCGATCATCGATCTCTTCCACTTCGGAGATGCAGTGGCAAAGCCCATATCCGGTCCCTCCTACTTCCAAGCTCAAGGCTCCAAGCTCCAGGCTCCAAGCTCCAAGCTCCAGGCTCCAAGCTCCAGGCTCCAAGCTCCAAGCTCCAGGCTCCAAGCTCCAAGCTCCCAGTTCTCCAATAATCTCGCCTTGAAATTAGTCTTCGTGTTGGAGTAGAGAGATAAAAAAAATACAGAAAATACAAAAACATACAGCAACCACAAAAAGACAAGAAAAAGAACAACAAACAAGCAAACAAGACCTGTAAGTCTTCAGGAACCTCGACTTCGATCTCTTCGTTTGTATTCGTGGCTCGCGCAGCCGGGCTTGAATCATGGGCTGTGGGATCTCATCCCGCCCGCCCCGCCCGAACCGCGAACCATGAGTCATCTCAGGGTTCCTTCGGGTTTGCCGGATGCAGGGACCTCCTCAGTCTATGTACGGAGGACCGGGTGTCCAGTTTCTGCATCTTGTTTACATGCGGGAACGTACCTAGTAGAGAGTTCCAACCACCAAGAAAAGCAGGAGACTTGTTCCAGCAGCCTACCTCTGAGACTTAACTTCAAACTCGTCGTCAGTTGGCCAAGATGCGACCAAGTCGTGGGGCCCGCGGCGTCTGCTGCAAGCTCTAGAAAGGAGCAACTCTTCAATCATGCTCCACAATCTCGTTGAAGGTTGAGTTAAGGTTTTACATTAGGCGTTGCAGTGGCGGTGTATGCAGTAGTCGGGGGCTAATTTGAGCAGTTTCGGTCACAGTGATGTACTGTCGTCGCCATGCTGACGGTTGCGAAGGAGGCGGGCTAGCGCAATTACACCCTAGAAATGGCAAGTAATGGGCTCATCTACATTGGCGCTATCGGTGGGCGGTGTTGCCCGGGGTGGCTGCTTTGGTGCCGACGGCGGCGCCGGGCGAGCTGGAGCGGGTGGTGTGGGGGTGTGTGCAGGGGCTGTGAGTTAGGCCTTCTGGCTTGAGTCCTTGGTGGCGGTCTCTCTCTCCCCTTTCACTTTCTTTTTGGGGAGGGGGAGACTAAGGTAAGTATACCTCTGGACGAGGTCAGTAATGGACTCACCTGCATCAGAGCCGATATTTGTCGGTAGCTAGGACTTCTAGCATTGATATACACCTATATTCTGTGTGCTTACACTGCGTGGCCTGGATAATAAAGGGTGCCTCTGTGCTCAAGGTGGAGTGCTCGAGATGGAAATGAAATCAACTGCATTGTGCTCATGTTGGTCTACTATAGGGTGGTGTCTTTGTCGAGACCTGTGATCGCATCATACTTGTAGGATTGTGTATCCACAGCATGCCCCTGTCTGCCGATTCGCGCCCTCACACCCTATCCACCATTGGAGGCAGCTGGCCACTTTCGACCAACTGCCGAACTTCCTTACAAGACCGTGAATATTCTTCACGCGTGAGAGTCGGAGTGTTGTACTCCAACGCAATCCCTAACAGGCACATCTTTTGCTTTAATTGCTCCATGCGATCCCATGGATATTCGTCCGGGTCTACATAGCCTAGCCAATCGATATACGGAACGAACTCGATCCGAATCGTCCGCAGCGCCTGGCTTTTGCCCGCCAAGGCGCCCTCGGCAAACGCCAGCAGCCAGCGCGCCTGTGGCTCGTCGAACCCCAACAAGCCTGGCCCCCAGAAATCTCCGTAGCTGATCAGGTCCCAGACGAACGTCCGCACTGTCGGGCTTAAGAGCTGATCAATCGCTGCGGCAGGACGCCAGTAAACGCGGGGATGCGTCTCGGATATGACGTGGAAGGGCGGGCAGACGACCGTGTGCAAGTTGGGGAAAGTGGAGGCCCGGAACTCCAGGCCCAGGGCGTAGAACGGGATCGCACCGAAGACCATGCGGCGGAGAGTGTGGGGGTGGGCCTGCAGCCAGGGATAGAAGACTTTGACGGTGGCGGGTGTGTGCGGGATTCTGCTCTTGAGGAGCTCGTCGAATGCCAGGCTGAACTCAACCAAGCCGCAAGTCGTGGGTTGTTGCAGAGCCGCATCATTCTATTGCCGATAAGGGGTACAGGTTAGCCTGCGTGGTCTTTACGCTTCGAGATCAAAGGCATTTTGGGGAGACGGCATCTAGCGATGTGAACGAACCAGGAAAGACAGGAGGAAAGGGGGGAGCGAGAAAGAAAAGAATGATATCGGGACCAATGGAAGGATAGGGACGGACTTGTAAAGAAGAGTAAATCTCGTGAGCCTCTCTTCTGATAGCCGACGGGGTTGTTGGGTCTGTGCCGGGCAACGCACGCAGCTCCGCATAGCCCTGCAGCTGACATTCAAACCGGCCCCCGAAGCCGTCACGAGGTTCATTGATAACGCCCATCAGTTCCACCCTCCGTAATGCTGGAAGGTGCCGGAGAGCATGCTGTAAGAGCTCCCATTGGCTGATCACGATAGACTGTCCAGGCTCGAGTGGTGATTGGAGGCGTTCCTGGCCCTCGGGCGGCCAACCTACCTCCACCTCACCCTGGATCCTTAGCGTGTGGACCTTCGCCCCGCAAAAGAGGCTTAACACGTCGGCTGCAGCCGCATAGTCCGCGAGTGAGATGCAGGTCTTGGTCCGATCGCGCTGTAGGACCAGGACAAGAGATCGGACGGGCAAGAGTAGGCTCGGGTCGGACCGCAAGGCGCGGTATAGGCAGTTCGTTCTTCGTCCAGACGGGTAGCAAAACTCCAGTTCGCGATACAGCAGGGGAACTGTGAGGCGGTAAATTCGCTGACAGGTGAGGAGAAGGGCAATGATGCCGGTACCTGAACGCCGGATGCCGAGTCGCCGTTCGAAAGAAATCCGGCCCAGAATAAGGCCGAGGATCTGGCCCAGGATCTCGGGAGGGAGATTGAGGATGAATGACCGGGGCATTCTGTTTCACGCTCAACGTGGGGTTGATGAGAGAGAGATAGATGGGGGGGGGGGGGGAACTAGGTAGAGTCAGACTGTCAGTCAGGCAGCACTGATTATTTGAATGGTTTCAGTTGTGGTAGATAATGCCCAACTGTTTAAGCACGGCTGGTTGCTGAGGTTGCTTGTATTCACAGAAGTCTGGAGGGGACTGGGACTGCTTGAAAAAAAAAAACAGAAAAAACGTCAGACGGATGGGAAATGATGATGTATGCCTTACACCACTTTCAAAGGTAGTTTCTGTTGGATCATTCACTACTGTCTGCCCCTCCTACTTCAGCAGCGTATTGTCTTCACTGATTCACTGTGTTACACTGCCATCGCAAGCCAGTATATTCTGTCCCTCCAGCTTTTTCTTCTCTCTTTCTCTCTTTCTTCCACCCATCTCTCTTACATGGGAGAACTCCCCACTCTTTCACATTCAAGGTCTTCCAGCTCTCGTCACTCCAGCTTGCCAAGCACTTCCTCGTGACACTCAGAGGTCTCCAGAACAGCTAGAACCTGAAGTAATCATCAGAAAGAGAACAAACGAAAGCAACTTCGCATGGCGAGGAAGATCATCGGCATCTTGCCGAAGGAGGGGGCTGTGAAGCCCTCCAGGGTTCCTCCAGTAGCCTCCGGACTTCCGTACGTCTTCCTCACCCAAGTAATCATGTCCTGTCAAGCTAATATCTAGTCTGCAGGTTCTTCGCAAGCAAGATGGTCAACCTCAGCGTCGAACCAGACGTCCCCATCTGCATCCACACCGACCTTCTTGCTGCCAAAGCCCCAAAGTTCCATCTGTCCACGATCCACGACAACAGACTGACCATCCTTGCCCGGTTTGTGGAATGGGCCTACACCGGCTACTACACCGCGCAGTACGATAATACCAAGCTCAATGTTGGCGTGGGCGAAATCCTTTCTACAATCGATGATGCGACCTTACATATCGATATGATCACCTTTGCAGACAAGTACGGAATCTCCGCGCTCGTCGCCTTGGCGCAGGACAATCTCAGCGCGGTTGCCGAAGATTTGTTCGAGAACTATCCCCGACCCTCCAAGGTCTCGGTCTTTGTGAATATCTGTGCTATAGCCGTTGCGGAGCTAGGCGCGAGCCATTCAGCCTGTCGAGATCTCGCCCGTTTCACCGTCCGCAACCTGGACGTCGTGCGGGCGGCCGACATCTTTGACTCGTTTCTCGCAGACCATCCCGAGTTTGCGGTGGCCATGGTGAAGTATTTCGACGGGCCAACTGCCAGCTATGAGGCTGATTCTTGTGGTTCGGGTCCTAGTCGCGATTTGGATAGCGAAGATGCTCTTTCTTGGCATCCCGATTCCTTCGTCGTGGGTCGTCGCGCTTCCGAGGGTGGGCAGAGTCGTTCAGTCTCAGACATCGATGATCCCTTCCGCGGGTGGCCTGTTTGTGCTCCTTCAGGTTCGACTGGGAATGATAGGAAAGCTTGCGAAGTTCCTTGGTAAGATCTGTTCGCGGAACTCGAGGATCTGAAGATCTCCAGTCTGGTACATGTTGGGATAGTTGAGATTATGGTGCGCTTGGATTGGGGTCGTCTTGCAATATTGCGTTACTTGTGATTTAGTGGCATTTGCTGAATACATTGCCTTCAAAGAGAAGGTTATTTCCATCCCAGAGTGTGCCTGCTGAATCACAGCGTGACTATACGCTGATTCCGTACATTGGTCAATCAGCTAACCAGAGTAACGGCCCCCCTTGGACATTGCTATCGAATTTATTCTAACCTTGTCAACCCAAGAACCAACCAACCCAACCAAGCTCAGTAGATCTTCCCTTCCATAACATAACTTCTTCTTTCCCACACCACCACCTTAATTCTTTGTCCCAGCACTTTCCTCCCGAAAAACTCCTTTGTCTCGTGCTTAAGAACGAAGATTCCACCCACCTACTTAACCTTTGTTTCTCTCACGCGCATTATCAAAACAAAGCTCGTTGTTCGCACAAAGAATCCAAAATAGCATCAAACAGCACCACACAACCCTCAAAACAGAGTAGAACAGAGTGAAACATCGAGTACTTTTCTACACCATTTGACATCGCTCTCGCAACAAGACTCACAACATAATTTCTACCCCACATCATCAACGTAACCTCTACCCACATCATCGACAACCTATCTCTCTCCTGCACTCGACTCACACACACACACTGCAGACCGGTATTACTTCATCATCAACATATTATCGTTCTGGATTCAAACGATAAACATCGAAATTCGTACCTCTCTTTTCCTCTCATCTCATCTTTGTTCACTCGCTTGCTTACCCAGACGTACGCGTCGCAGGATCTTCACTCTACACTAAATCCCCGAGACCCGACTCGGTGGATATTATCAACGTTCATCACAACCCAGAAACCAAGCGAGCCTACACGCTACACCAACCCATCACACTCCCAAATCGAATTCTTTCTCATCAAATTGAAAAGAGAAGAAATGGCTCGTCCATCGAAACAAAAACGCGCCGCCAGGATGCGGGCGAAAGTGAGGCGCGCGGCACCGCAGAAGCAGACACAGTCGCCCCAGAACACAGAGAACCAGCAGACTACAGAGGAAGAGACGCAGGTTACGAATGAGGATGAGTTCCATACACCGATGGACAATGGGAATCATATGCCTGTGGGGATGTCCGCTCAGAAGCTTGAGGCGGACTCTGCCAGCAAGAACCAACTTTCACACACTTCGGAGCAGGTGATGCAGTTTTTGAATAATGCCAACGTCACCGGGGGAGTGAGCGTCCGCGCAACACAGTATGAGACAGAATCTTCGGATGAGAACGAAGGTCTACAATTCTCTACACAGATTACACAGCCTACAAATGATGCAAAGGAAGAGACCAGAAATGAAGTGAGCGTACTCGGTAGACAGCGCGAGAATCACGCGACCAATGATAAAACTCAACAACACACAAACCAGCAGACAAATCAATCGAAGTACATTAAGAAGGAGACGGAGGCCACCACACAACATGAGACGAACCTCCCTACCAATCCTCCCCAAACCATCAAGCAAGAAACACAACCTCCGACCGCCACCGAAGAAACCACCGAGCGAGTAAGCATGCTGGCAAAGAAGCGCAGAAGGCGCCCGGTCCCAGTCCAAGCACCGCAACCCGCCCCAGAGCCTACACCAACATACAAATTCACATCACCGCCGACCCTCGCCCACCCCAAGACCCGACCCACAATCGCCAACCCACAACCCCCAAAGGCCACAAAACGCAAAGCCTCAGAGCCCGCCGAGAGCATCGACCTCGGCTCGCCCAAGAAACAGAGCTCCAAGAAACGCAAAGCCCGAGTCGCTCCCGAGATTGTCGATCTATCTTCACCCAAGCCCGCTCCAAGAGAGCACGGACAGAGGCCGAGCCCCAAGAACCTCCGGAAGCGCAAGCCCGTCGACCCGTCCGAGACGATCGATCTCCGCTCGCCGATCAAACGCACGCGAAGCTTGGCGTCTACCTCGCCTCGCAGGACCAGAAGTTATACGAAGCAAGCCGTCCACCCGCCACAGAGGCAGGCCATCCCCAACCAAGACTCCAAGGAGGGGAAGGGAGGTAAACGGGTGGAGTGGGCGGACCGGGACACCCGCAAACACACCACCGTTCCGCAGCAGGGCTCGACCAGCATCAAAAAAGAGGAACAACCGCACCGAATCCTACCGGATAGAAGCCAGATCTGCAAGCCAGCCCGCTCCGACTCCGACTCCCAGCCCAAGGCCCAAGTGAAAGTGAAGCGCGAACCGACCTCGCAACCACCCCAAACCCCTTTCCCCGAGAACGAGAACGAGAACGAGAACGCAACTCCCTTCTACACCCCCCTGCAACAAGCCCTCCTCTCCCAAACCCAAGCCGTGACCAACGCAACCTACGAGGTCCTCGAACGCCGCCTCGCCAGCACACAAGCCACCGCCGCGCGTCGCGTGCGCACCACCCTCGCCACCGAGACTGAGACTGACACCGAAACCGACACCGACATCGACGCCGCACACGACCCGATCCCGCCCCTCCCGCTCGGCCGCGTCCTCAAGGTCGCCAAATACCTCGACACGAACGTCCTCTCCCGCCTGACGCAAACCTGCAAAACCCTGTACCGCCAACTGACCCACGAGCTCCAACTCCGCCAGGACCCGACCTCCATCCCGGACAGCGCCTGGCAAACAGAAATCCGGCTGGGCCTCTCCGACGCCGAAGGCCGACGGACCGTCGAATGGCTCCCGGGCACAGGATACTACCCTGGCCCAATGGAGCTGGCCACACAGCACGGTCGCGTCGACGACGTCCGCGCATACCTCCTCAAGGGGGCGGACCGCAACTGCCTGAACGCGTACGGCATCCGGCCGCTCCGCTGGGCGGTCGCCACCGGCCAGCTGGGGATCGTGCGACTCCTGCTGGAAGACGAAGCGGACCCGAACCTACCCGACGAAGACGGCGCGGGGGGCGCCCTCGCCGGCCCATTCGTAGGGCCGGGGACGGAGACCGAGACGTTCATCGAGACCCTCCTGGACGCCGGGGCACAAATCCGATGCATGGACGCCTTCACGAACCTGTGCCACTCGCGCAAAGCCGCGGAGTACCTCAAATACGCGATCGCGAACGGCAGCGCCAGCACGCTCGGCCACCTGCGCGGCCCCGCAGGGACGACGGTCCTCCACGTCGCGGCGCAGATGGGCCACAAAGCCATCGTGAACATCCTGCTCCACGAGACGGAGGGGGTGGCCATCGACGCGGTCAACGACCACGGCCAGTCGCCACTGCACCTGGCGCTGCGCGATGGCAACGAGGCGACGGCGCTGGCGCTGATCGACGCCGGCTGCGCGCTGAATCTCGCCGATAATTTCAACCGGGATGCGCTGGCCCTGGCGATTGAGAAGGGGTACGCCGAGGTCGTGCGCGCGATGCTCGAGGCGCCCCCCGCGGCCGGGGTGGATTTCCGGGCCACCCGCAAGTACGGCCATCGGCCCTCGGCGGAGATGACCCATCTCGAGGGCGCGTTTTCGTTTCGCCGGTTCGGCATCATGAAGCTGTTGCTTGTCGGGAGGGTGCATGCCGTCGATGAGGCGTTGCAGAGGCGGTGTCGCGAGTTGGCGAGGACGGATCCCACGTATGGGGAGCTGTGCGAGGATGTTTCGTTGTTGATGGGGAGTAGTATGTTGGGGTTTGATTCGGAGGAGGTGGAGACGGAGGTGGGGACCGAGGTTGGGGAGGAGGAGTGATTTGGGTGGGGGGAAAGGTTGGATAACAGGAGGGATTGGATGCGACCAGTGGGAGTATTTGAGTTAGAGGGGCTTTATACGACTAGCAGGAGGATTTGAGATAGAAAGCGAGTGCATATGGTTTGGAGTTACTGTTAGTGTTGGGGCTGTATACCCGGATTAGCGCTGCTTTGAGAAGAATACCGAAGTTGAACATACATACAAGCACCCAAAGAACTACTTGACCACCCACTACGAGAAGGTAGGAGAAGACCACAAGTCAGAAGCCACAAGTCAAAAGACCGTCAATCATTATTCACCACCATCTATACAAGACAAGTGAAGATAAGTAAGTATGCAACGCAATGCAGTATGTACGGAATGTACTTCCCCCCAGTCCCAGTCCAGGTCCAGGTGCAGGTGCAGGTCCAATAGCCCGACCCTCCATTCTCCTCCCCCATCCCCATGTATCCCCCCTTCCCCAACCAACCCAAAAGCGAAGCGAAGGAATATCACAACCCGCGCTTCTCGGCATCGGCATCACGATCCTTTCCGCCGACCACCACCTCCTCCGTCGTCACGCCCCCCACATCCCGCGCATTGAGGTACACCTCGCCCTCCTCGTCATCGACCGCGGCCTCCCACCCCAGCTTCTCCGCGCGGATGCGCTTCTGGTTCTCGGTGGGCCACACCCAGCAGATGGCGAAATAGCAGACGAAGGCGGTCACAAACGACAAAATCCAGCCGAGGTCGCCCATGCGCGTGGCGGTCGTCGACACGGAGGCGCCCAGCGAGCCGACGAAGCCCGGGAACGGGAACGCGATGCCGATGATGTAGGCGATGACCGCCTGCACGTTCCACCCCTTCAGGTAGTAGTAGCTCTTGTTGAGCGGGGTGCCGTCGTACAGGGCGGGGATAAAGATGTTGCCTTTGGTGAAGCAAAAATCTGCAGCCGGTTATTAGCATCAGCATGGTTGGAGGAGCTCAAGCTCAGGGGGAGAGGTGAGAATGGGGGAAGGGTGGAGCATGGGGAAAGGGGCAAGACAAGGGAAAAAGGGGCGAGGGGCAACGTACATTCACAAACCATAATGGCAACCACACTCCCCATGAACAGGGCGTACCCGGACAGAAAGGTCTCGAACTTGGTCGCCGACGCCAGGATCTCCCACGGACACACCGCCCAGGCCAGCGTGTGCACGATGTACTGGCCGCGGCGCATGTTGATGAAGCGCGGGAACAGCATGGACGAGTCCGCGCCGAACGAGATCATGTTGGCCGCCACGTTGGTCCCCAGGATCTGCACCAGCCAGGCGAAGGCGGCCAGGAACACGGCGAACCGCGTCGTGCCCGACCAGTAGCGGTCCAGGATGAATTCCATCAGGTCCCATTGGTTCCTGTCGTCGTTAGGGGGGATGCTGGACGCAGCGCCGCGGTGAGGGGCGCACTTACCAGATGGAGGTGCCGTATTTGTTGTTGATGGCGGAGGTAGCCAAAATCCCCAGACTCGCGGAGAGGGTCGTCGCGATCGGGTTGGAGATCAGCTGCGTCCACAGCGGGGCGTTCTTCGTCTTCGCCCAGCGGCAGTAGTCCGGCTGGTTGGTGATCAGCGTGGCGGTGTTACTTTGCGTCTGGTTAGCCTCGCCTCAACCCCCCAGCTTTTTTATTGGAGGCACTCACCCCAGGCCACTGTTGATCCCCGAGATGATCAACCAGGCCATCGCCGTCGTCGACTTGCTGTCCTGCGTGTACACCGACCCGATCTTCCCGCCGGTGTTCACCATGGCGAAGATGAACAGGCCGAACATCGCCGGCAGCGAGATGAAGGTCTTGAAGATGAAGAACCCGCGCAGCTGGTACGGCCGGAAGTGGCAGAACGGGAGGTGCACCATCCAGCACAGGAACAGCGCCAGCATCTGCTGCGTGGTGATGTGGGCGCTGGCCGGCAGATGATTCGGGATGTCGGTGAAGTGGTGGCCGAAGATCGCCCGGAGGATGTTGAACATGTACTCGGCGCCGTAGTACACTGCTGCGCGTTAGAGAGGGTTTGAGGGGCGGTTTTCGAGGAAGTGATATACGCACACTGCACGGAGTACCAGACGATCGCCAGCACCGCCCGCGCCCCGACGAAGTAGAAACTGCCCCACATGCCGAAGACACTGCGTCCCACGCACGGGAAGCCGATGTGGTACACGCTGGCCGCGCGCGAGTTGAAGGCCATCGCGATCGAGGAGATCATCTGGGAGACGAAGATCACGATGATGGATTGCCACCAGTTAAGGCCAATTCCAATCATACTCTGCTGCGGTCAGAGGGGGTTCCGTGATGGTGCTCACTCAGGGCTGAGGCGAACGCGCTTACCGATCCCAGAGTCCAGTTGGTGAACGAAATGGACCAGTAGAAGGAAACATAGTTCCACCAACGCCAGGCTAGGGTGCAGATTAGCCCTGGCTCTCACCAATGTCAACACCCCGAGAACAACTTACTGCACTGCTCCGGGGGAGTGGGTAGCAGATCTGCAGGAAGGCCAAGTCAACAACAGGCGTCGCGTGCGCGGGCAAGTGAAAGAAGTCCAACCTTCATTGGACCACCGCGAATCCCGGCTGGAGTCCAGCTCGAGGGCGGAGACGATTCTCGTGCCGACCTTGGCCATGATTGAGGTGTGGTGATAAGATACTGGGAAAGACAAAGGTAGCAGTCCCCCCAGGCCCAAAAATTTGGGAGGGGAGGAAGAGGGAGGAGGAGAGAGAAGGAGGAAACGTCACGGCGTGGACAGGATTTTATTCCCAGCGGGAGTGAATGAGGGCAGCCAAGCCAAGAGGAGGGGAGGGAAAATTCAAGTGGGGTTCGTGGTGTATGGCAGTGGGGCGGTTGACTAGCTTTAATTCACTTTGGGTGGGTTGAGACGATAACAGCGAAACCAGAGCAGTGGACCGATGGGGGGTGAGCAGTGTGTGATAAGAGGGTTTTCCGCCACGCAGACTGGCTGCAGCCCTGAGTTTACCCAGCGGTGCAGTGGCGGAGATTACCCAAAGGAGAGTCGTGCGGGTGATAAGCTCTGCTGTGGTGGATTCCTAAGGTTGCAACCCTATTTGCCTCGCCGGTTCTTCTTAGTCACAGTTCTTCTGTTTAGCCTATGAGTGTGGCCGGTGGTGTTACGCTAGACCTCAAGGGATAAGAAGGCACACGCGCACCGAATCTAGCCTGATTCTCCCGGATCGACGTGAAGTCTGGCTCATGGGTCGATGCTATGCTATTTTCATCCTCACCGGACAGCCTCCGAGAAGGTGGCAATAAAGTTCAGGGAGACAGATGATGTATTCTAGAAGACATATGGGAAATAACTGGAGATAAAGCAAGACCGCTACCTATCAACAATATCAAGCAATATCATATCAAAGAAGAAGGTTGCATCAGTCATCAGCAGATATCAAGGTTTTTTTTTCTGATCCTTCCGGCACGGTTCGTGGAAGGTTTTTGGTGCGGCCAAGGGGAGGAAAAGTGGATCGGGAGGGCAGCCCGCTTGCCAATCACCTGACTGTGTGGAAGGCAATCCCAGCCACACACGCGGATTCGCCGAGGATAGCCTCAACTCCTCAGCCTACACCCCCCCGGAGCAGGAAGATCCTTCACCCGGCTGTGCTGCCTTCGCTGCTGGAGCCGCCATGACTCTCTGTGAAATCAGTGTCCACCCGACTCTTCGCCATCCCCGACGTTCCCCCGAGTCATGTAGCGTGATCAACAGGTGTGGAAGGGTGTCTGACTGACAAGCTCAGGCTTCCTCCGATACTCCGTAGAAACGATGGCCATATAGCTCACCATGCGGGCAACGACAGCAGCAGTCATGTTTTAGACGGTCAGTACGATAACACTGCACTCGCTTGAGTTTGCCCCAGGTGTCAGCCTGCTGGGGCTGGGAGACACTTGGCACGTTGCTCCGGGCTAGATCAACTAGTCTCCCGGCTGTCAGTCATTTTCGAGAATCCGACTAAGAGTTCTAGCCGGCATCTTGGCACTTCACCCACGGCCAGAAAGCGTTTGCTCCAACCTGGAGATAAGACATGTGATGCACTAATTAACCCCAGGGTTGCACTGCAGCGGAATGAGGTTGATGGGAGATCCGTGCTTGGGTGGCCATCCCACGCCGACCGACTCGAGTAATCGCTGATCACCTTATCTTGGAAGGGTGGAGGCTGGTGACTGCTCTCGGGGAGTATCCTCTTCTCACCCTCAACAATCAAGACAATTTTGACCATCGCTTTGCGGAGTACATGTTGACACACCAACTCCGCCGGTCAGACACGTTGAAATCCAGGCTGGACCTGGTGGACTCGGTGGACTCGGTGTAACCGACGGAGATAAGTACTATATCAGCGATCCTGCAGGACAATAGAGCACAAGACATTGTATTCAGCTTACAAGTTGGGGCGGGGATTCGCCATCGATGCTGCGATAGCTGCCTTGGTATCAATAAGACTCTCCTTGCTTGACGGCGGACTTCGCCTAGGGACCTGAGGCTCCCGCAGTTGGGGGCGATAAGGCAGGAGGTCTGGACTGACGCGACCAATGACCACCACGTTGGATTAGAGATAACTCTATCAACCTAATCGGCTGCTGTGCCACCTTTAAACACTGGTGTCCTGTTTCTAACGCCGCTGGGAAGAGACAAGAGAAGCACTGAGTCGCAAATTTCTTCAATGCGAGTCAATGCTGGCAGTATGCACGGATCGCGCGCAATTGCTAAGCAGCTGCCGAAGTCAGGATACGAGCCTGTTCGTGGATGCAGGTTCGACTCCCGCCGCGCTCGTCTTCCTTCTTCCCCTGACATTGGCGCCGCCTCGTGATGACCGGCCTTGACTAATCTTGATCGCGCAAACTTGAATCGACTCATCAGCAGGTGTCAAACCAACCCCAGCTGGCAGGAGTCGCCCCTCGTCGGTTCACCGCTACAGCCCGGGTTGAGGATTTGTTTGTTGTTTGAGCATGCAAGGACACCCTATATTGACAGATCCAATGCAATCTGCTTCGTGTTCAGGTACGGGCATCGGAGCAGACACAGAGTATGCACCGTCGTCCGAGGAGCCCTACGTCTGGCCCTATCCCAGGAAACAGCGCCCAATCATAGTTCCCACCCACAGCACCCTCCAGCGATCGCAATCTTGAAGGCAAGTCTTTGTGGTCCAGCCGTGTCTACCGTGACAGTGCCAGGAGTATCAATTTTATTTCTGTCAGTGGTTGTACACACAAAGAACTCCGTAATGACCCCTTTTGATCACCTCCGTGGCGAGGTATTACTCGGTCACCGCGAGGTAAAAGGAAGTACCACCCCCCGAGGTGACAACTACCGGGCCTCCGAGCCACGGTTCGAGTCGGCGGGCGTAATTCCGACCCCAAGGATTCCCACTCGGCCTTAACTATCCTCAAGGCCATCTTCCCTGGACCATGACATCTCGAATGCGAGCCATGATTCTCGTTCAAACCATCCGATTGTCACTAGGTCCAGCAGCGAAGTATATTAACCGGTCACGGTACAAAGCAGTTCAAAATGTGACCAAAAAACAACACCGCCCCCCGACCCATTCTACGGTCGGACTTTCGCCCATCGCGATCAGCAAAGCCATCCACCCCCCAAAACATTCTTTGTCTGTCCCGATGGTTTGTGCCCGCCATCGAGAGCCTCAAACAGCTCAACCCAGCGCAGATGAAATGAGAGGAGATGAGAAGAGATGGGCGGCCGTGATCGGATTAGATAAACGCCACCGATGGGGCGGGTCCAACGGACGCCTGTCCGTGCGGACCAAGGGATTGGCCCGGTTGGGAATTCGAGGTCATGGGCGAGGGGAAATTTGGACGGGGGCTGGCCCAGTGCGCGGTGGGGGACAGAAAGTAGGTCGGTCCTTGTCGATGGCTGTAGACTGAGTAGTTATAGGCGCCTACACGAGTCGTGATCTTACCTAGCCTGCATTGCTGCATTGCGCGCATTGGTCTGATGGGCCGCGGGGTCAGCGAAGACATGTTGACCCAGTACTGAAGAGGTACGGAGTAGTGCGGGAACACACAAAGAAAGCAGTGAGACGGCCACCCCATCCCATCTGCAGGGGCAAACCCTCAATCAAAGAAACCTCAACCGCAATTGTGATGGGTACCGTCAAAGGAAGAAAGAAAGAAAGAAAGATTCGAAGTCGGAAAAGTTTTCTAGCCCTCAGTGCCAGGCACATCGACTAGAAGTACATAGTAATTTCCAAGCGAGATCCAATGAGGGCTGGCGGTGGAATGACAGTCCCCCTGCAATCTCCACTCGGGCCAGGATCTGCCCGTTTGCCCGCTAATCGGATCCTCGCCTGTTGTTTCACATTAAATGTCCGATCCCCAATCCCAGCGCCTACTCCTCTGACCTTGAAAAGCGACTCCATTGACCTGATGACTGGCTTCGGCATTGTTCCAGGCACACACGCAATCCTCACCCTGGCGGGGACGAGTGCTGAGTATAAAGACTCGATGGTCTGTCCCTCAGGGCCAGAAGCCCGGAATCCAGCGGGACTTCAAAGAGCTTCTGGCAAGCGTCTTTACCTTTTACCTTTCAAACTTCTTTAACCTCAAGTCGTTCTTTTCCTCTTTCTTTCCTGCAGTATGGTCTGGACCACTCCCTCTCGTGCACTCGGGGTGATGCTGAGCTGCATCGCCCTGCTCCCCGCGCCAGCCACCGCGGGCCACCATCAGCACGACCACCTGCACCGACGCCAGCATCACCACCAGGGCTACAGCGTCGGGCCCCCGATCTGGCAGACCCGGCCGCACGACAGCGAGACAGCTGCAGCGACTGTGGTGGCGACCGCGACCACGACCACCGCGATCCAATCCGTGATCCCGGCGACCTCCGTCGTCGCATCCTCGGCAGCAGCGGCCGCCTCGTCCGCGGCGGCAGCGATCAGCAGCCTGAAAGCCCAAGTGATCATTCCGTTCTACGTGTACCCGGACCCCGGCAAATGGACTCCCTTGTTGAACTTGTATGTCACCTCCATCACCCCCCTCCCAAGACCCAGAACTGATGTAATACAGAGTCGCATCCTTCCCGGACGTGCACTTCACCGTGATCATCAACCCCAGCAGCGGCCCCGGCACCAGCGCCCTCCCAGACGCAGCCTTCCTCACCGCCGTCCCGAGCCTAACCGCCAACTCCAACGTGCTGGCGATCGGCTACGTCCCGACCCAAAAGGGCACGCGGGCGATCGCCGACGTGGAGAAGGACATCAACACGTACGCGAACTGGCCCAGCGCGTCGGGCAACAGCTCGTTCGCGGTGCACGGGATCTTCCTCGACGAGGCGCCCAACGCCTACAGCGCCGACCTGGTCAGCTACTACACGACGCTCTCGACTCTCATCAAGAGTAAAGACGGGCTTGGGCCGGAGAACTACGTATGCCCCTACCCCTTACCCTTCACCTAACCTTTCGGTCCCCCCCCCCCAATCCCCCACCATGCTAACGCTCGATCAAGGTGGTCACCAACCCCGGTACCCCCCCTGACAACGCCTACCTCGACCTAGCGGACAGCACCGTGGTCTTCGAGTCGCCCTACTCCTCCTTCCAGGACGCCATCTCCGCCGGCACCTTCGGCAAGCTCAACGCCTCCAGTAACAGCCACACCAAGCTGGCGTCCATGGTCTACGGGGTGCCCGACACCGTGCATCTGCCGACGCTGCTGACGCAGGTGAGCAACATCTCCGAGCAGATCTTTTTGGGCAATACGAGCTCGTACATGGTGTATGATACGTATATGAATTCGGTGGTGCCGGCGTTGTTGGAGTTGGTTTAGTTGGGTGGCTTGGGTGGCTTGGGTGGCTTGGCGGGGGTTGCGGGTGTGAGCTGGGGTTTGAAGGTGCATCGTGCATCGTGCATTGTGCATTGTGCATCGGGCATTATGTGCTAGTGGTTGAGGGTGTTGTGGCTGGCTGGGCTACTCGTGGCTCGGCTCTAAACTGCAGTGGCTGTGGGGGTTTGCGTTTGGGTTTGGGTTTCCCTACCTTTCTATTCTCTCGTTATCCTTCTTTTCGGTGTATATATAGATGTGTGTGTTGTGGATCGATATACCTGTTTCTTTTGTGTCCTGGTGGCATGGGAGTGGATTATGGGCAAATTGACGATGTTACGCTTGTGCTTTGAATGGGTTTATGCTGGTTGATAGACATCCATGATGAATTAGTGCCTTGCTGGTGTCGCCTGGCGAGGATGGGGGATAGTGGACTGGTTGTTTATGAGATGCATTGCTGAGTCAGCTTCGCTAAGCCAGCTAGTACAGGCTGTGCATAAGTCCTCCCATGCAAGCAAGCAATGCAACTACCAGTAGCTTAGCTTAGCTTGGAGGAGAGAATGATAACTGGACCTTGGTGCTCCCGTGCTGCTTAGAAGTATACTGTAGTTACCTGGTAAGATACCCAGCAGTTACTGTACTCAATCTACAGACCCCAAATCGGATCCAGCTACATACTCCCTCCACCCAACAACAACCACCCCTACCTAATCTATTGTACTGTACTGTACCACAGAGTAAGGACCCTCATCCCAAGAATCATCTTCATTACCAGAACTAAGACAAAGACAAAGACACCACGAGACCCAGCCTCTCTCTCCCACCTCCAACCCCTATCTTCCATCCACGCACCCAACCATCAAACAAACCAATTAGCAACCACAACCACCAGTCCAGCATCCACTACCATGAAATCAGCACCCTCGCCCGCAGCGCAACACAACACTTGCCGCACAAAGAAAACCCACCTCAGTCCCACCATTCCAACCCTGTAGACATCAATGCCAACCCCGTGGACATCACTGTCTCAGCATAGTGTCTAGACAGACCGCGACAAAAGGCCTAAATATGCACACCAGCACCCAACCCCGCCCCGACCTGCGCGGCAACCTCAGCGGCAGCGTTGGCAGCGGCATCGACGCCGAAGCCGATATTGAACGGCTCCGGGTTCGGGTTCGCCTCCGGGTTGGCGGCGGCGAAGGCGGCCAGGAAGAGGGTGGTCAGGGTGGTGAGGATGGTGAGTTGCATTTTCTGTTCTTGCTGTTGCTGTTAGCGTGTCGGATGTTGGGGTGGGGTTTGGTTGGATTTCTGGAGGAGGGGGCGCACGATTAGGATTAGGGATTATCTTAGCTGATCTTGTCAGAGATTGGATGGATGGATGGATGGATGGTTGTGCGGAGGAAATGGAATGGAGTGAACTGAAGAAGGAAACCGAGCCTGCGATGTTGTTGATGGATTTTGGGCTGGAGGGGGAGGGGACGGGGGTTTATATCTTGCTTCCTTTCTGTGCTGCACAGTACTGCACTGGGTGGTGGGTGCATGGTGGGAGATAGGGGTAGGAGCTTTCCTGAGAATTGGGTTTCGTATCTGAATCTGAACCTAAAGGTTCTATTGTCGGAGGTTGAGGTGGCTCGATTTATGGGTCGAGTTGGGTTGGTTCGCGTCGGGAGGGATCCAGCGGGGACTGATTTTTGGGTCGGAGGGTTTGTACTTGTGCTCGTGTTTTGTCCTCGGGGACTTGATTTTGGGGTGATTTGGTTTGGGAGGAGTGGTTTGTGGTGATAAGTGGCTGTTTGTTTACGATTTCGAGTATGGATATGGTTCTAGGCTCATGGAGAGCGGGCGAACAGGTGGTCAGTGGTCAGTGGTCAGTGGTCAGTAATTAGGTATTGTCTGCATGAACTCCTGCAGGACTCCGTGGTCGGAAATCAATGGAACGGTGTGGGGTAAGGTGAAACGGCGGGGTGCCTCCGGACTATCCTGTGACATCCTATGCAGTTTAGCGAGACTACTGAAGACACAATACACTCTGATGTTCATTCGGAACCCGATGCATGCATTGTCTCCAAAAATGGGAACTGTGGCGGGTTCCTGGCGATCTCGAGCCGATCGTCCCGACGGGTTCCTGGTGCCCGAAATATACTTCCGCTGCGACGCTGGTTGCCTCGCGTTGGCCGAGGCACGTGAATGATCGTCACCCTTCTAATCCCTCGAGATAAGATCCTCGTGGTGAGTTGCAGTCTTTGCTCAATTTATGGTGAGCATCCTGGAAAAGAGTGTGTAGGAAGCGATCGCCGTTTTCACCTGCACCGAGGTTCAGGAAGCTCTGGCTGGGTGTTGCTTCTCTCTTGGCAGGCTACTGCTAATGCATGCTCTACATTTCACCATCGGGTCTTGCGACCTCACGACTCTCCCAGGAACACCCTGACACCCTGGACATCCTGACAACCCAGTCCTAAACAGCTACATCCGGAATCCCAGCCTCATACTCCAAAACCTTCGGGTGCTTCACCCCTCCCACCCTCAACACCCCCCAATCCCTCTCCACCCCCTCCTCAACATCCGGATACGGCCCCACCGGCGTAATCGCCCTCGGATTGATCATCTCGTGACTCTTGGTATACTGCCTCCATCAGCTCTGCCCAACCCCCCCGGAAAACACAACTTACATTCTCCTTGATATGCCGGAAGTCCGTACTCGCGCGCGCCGCCGGCACATCCCAGTACATGCCCTTCAGCCAGTTATTCAACACGGGGTAGTCGTGCCGAATCGTCCCGAGATTGCACTTGAAGTGCTGCACGTACACCGTGTCGAAGCGGATCAGCGTCGCGTACAGCAGCACGTCCAGCTCCGTCATTTCCTTGCCCAGCACGAACGGCCCGCCGTGGGCGGCGACGAGGCGCTCGAGCTTGTTGAGCGCCCCGAACACCGGGATCACGTTCTCGTTGTAGACCTCCTGCGTCTCGGCGAAGCCGGCCTTGTACACGCCGGTGTTGAGGTCGGCCTGGAGCCAGGGGCTGATGGCGTCGATCTTGGCGCGCAGGTGGGACGGGTACAGGTCGATCGCGGCGAGGGCGGGCGGGATGTACGCGTCGAAGGCGCGGGGCAGCCAGCGGAGGATGTCGATGCTTTCCTGTTGCTGTCTGTGAGCGGTTGAGGAGGGGCCAAATCCGACGACCAGAGGGACATACGTTCGCAACGGCCGTGTTGCTCTTCGTGTCCCACAGTAACGGCACCGAGTACCGTCCCTTGTACTCCGGATCCGCCCGGAAGTACACCTTGTGCAGGTAGTCCTCCCCGAAGAGGTGGTCCACCGTCGCGCCGGGGTACTCGGTGTCGCTGGCCGGGAACTTCCACCCGGGCCAGCCTTTCGAGTCGCCCTTGGGGTATGGCTTGACCACGCTGGTGCGGATGATGTTGGTGAGGCCCTTCAGGTGGCGGACGAAGTTGACGCGGTGCGCGAACGGGCAGAACAGCCCGATGTACAGGTGGTACCGGTGGGGCTCGGCGGGGAAGGCATTGCTGGGGATGATGCCGTGCCAGCCGTCGGCGGTGCCGGGCTGATGTACCTGCTCGGAGGAGGGAGGTGTAGCGGCAGATTCGGAGGCCATTGTGTGCTGATTTGGGTAGATGTGAAGCTCAAGTTGCTGCGGTGGGTTGGTGGTGATATGCGGGGCGGGGACGGCCCGCTGACGTCATTTGCGCTAACTTAACATAATCGGCAGCAACCCAGTAAGGCCACCGTAATACGGTAGCCACTTCACCTATCAAAGTAAGAATGGGCAGATATCAATGTGTCTACTAGGACAGCAACATTACTATCACTAGATTAAGAAGCTAGATTTCTTTTCAAGTAAAGATCGTTACAGAGACCAAGTTCATTCGATTTATGAAGTGATGAGTACAGGTAATTGTTTAGACAACTTTAAAGACCACTGAGAGAATAAATCTTTCATGATTCCAGGTATATGAACTACGATATAGCAGCGCTAGGCGACTGTGCTAGATGACAACAGCACGCTATAAAGTCTGAACAACCCTACTGGGGACGACGTACTACCGCTCGAAAGCTTGATCGACCAATCTTTGATTGGAAACCACTCCGCACCCCCGACGCGCGGTCAACGAGGCAAATGTAAATGCATGAGGGCACCCGATGGGCAAGGACTGTACAGTATAGAAACCGAATGCCGATTGACAGAGGAGAATGGGCCGCACACTTCGTCGCCTTGCCAAGTCCAAACGGACTTGCATTCCGGGATTGAATAGACCTAGTAGGAGTCTCCTCCGAGAATTTGTGTATAGTAGAGAGAAGAGAAAATGCGCGATAGTGCAATTGCTACTGTGTCTCGTTCTGTGCTACCTGCATTTCTTCCAATGACCATCCAGAAGCCCAATGGGACAGTGACAACTAGACACGGCGCCTCGAAGTTAACAACTGACCTGTAAGCTGACGGTGTGCTGAGGTAGTCACAAATTGGACCAAGATAATCAGGCTTCTGATGGTGAGAGAATTCAACTACTGGCAAAACATGCAACTGGTCATAGATTGAGCCCGAGCCAACAGACATATCACTTACGTATGTTATGTGGTGTCTCATCTCACCAGAGGTTTACGTCTTATATTAGAACAGCAGAATAATACAATCTAGATATTTCTTCGAGTATTATGTGGCCGTGCTGCTCCACGCCCAAGGACGCGGTCTACGAATTATCCTTTTGCGGAAATGTGTGGGCCAAAATGCTTTGGATGCTGCCTTCGAAGGTTGAGTGAACGCACAACATCCTTTCGGCAGCAAGTAGTTCTTCTGTCTCTGGCTCTGCTATCGCGGAATAATCCTAGGGTGCTTCGAGGAATGCCTGTGATTCTATACTAGTACCGTCAATCACCTTGTCTACACCGCTCAGCTTGCGGGGATACATATGATTATCCCAGAGGCGTGTATGGGTGGCTGCTTTTCACGGCTGGCCCCGAGAGATATTCTTTCTGGTGGTATGTCTCTGTGTATAAGTGAGATTAACTTGATTTGAAAATATCTCCACGGCATTAGTTCAAGATGAAGAGGGACGGTGAAGTCGAGAAGAACCGGTCTGACCGAGAGGCGATTCAAGATCACGTGAATGTCTATCGGGCCAGTTCGGAGTGTCCTTCCCGTCAACTACCGGGGATCATGTGACCATGAAGCGATGTGTGAATCCTCAAGCAAGGCAGACTGCCTGATCCTGCGGATATCGATCTGCCAATCGAACTTGGCATCGCCCTGAAGTGGACCCCAAGCTTCAAGCGACACCGATCTAATTCCGGCTCAGCCACCAACATGGAGTCAGGAACAGGCAATCAGAGGATCAACACTGCCATGGAAGCAGAGACGCTATAACACTAACCCGTGGGGGCGAAACCCCCTGAATTTGCGACCGAGGATTTAATCGCGATCATCTTCGCTCTTCTCAAGCTCAGTCAATCGGACAAAATTCAACTCCGTTGTGCTATCGTCATGAGACCGTACGCTCTTGCCCTCCTCGCTGCGCCCGCGCTTGCCGCGCATCGCACCGCCCGCGACGCGATCGAGAGCATCTGCACCAAGAACAACATCATCACCACCGACGACTTTATCCTCTACAACAACCTCTGGGGCGAGGAGTACGCCACCTCCGGCTCGGAGTGCACCTACCTCGACTACGTGAGCGGCAACTCCATCTCGTGGCAGACCTCGTGGACCTGGGCCGGCGGCGCCGACTACGTCAAGAGCTACCCCAACGCGGTGCTGAACGTCGGCGCGAAGCAACTCAGCTCCATCACCAGCATCCCTACTACGTGGTCGTGGAGGTAAGTCTTTGCAGCATGATGCAAGCGACAGGCACCCCCCACTAACCAGTCAACAGCTACACCGGCACCGACCTCAAAGCCGACGTCTCCTACGACGCCTTCTTCTCCACCACCGCCTCCACGACCGCCACCCACGAGTACGAGGTCATGGTCTGGCTGGGCGTGTACGGCGGCATCGAGCCGATCGGCAACGCGGACGGTCCGATCGCCAGCCCGACCATCGGCGGCCGCGTGTGGGATCTGTACAAGGGCCCCAATGACTGGACCGTCTTCAGCTTCGTGGCCCGTGAGAATGTCCAGGACTACTCCGGCGATATCATGGACTTTTTCAACTATCTGATCGACAACGAGGGCGTCTCGTCGAGTCTGTACCTCCAGACGCTTGGGGCGGGGACAGAGCCGATGACGGGGTCGGATGCGTGGTTTACTGTTGCGCCGTATGAGATTAGCATCAACGCTTAGTGTTAGGGTGGTCTGCAGGTTGGGTAGAGGGAGACGGATAGTGGAAAGTGTGTAGAGTAGTGTTTGTCCGATAACGATCGATGTGATAGCTATTGCCACTGGCAATCGAATGATACTGTGCGGGAGATTCCACGATTGAGGATGCGAGATTGGGTTGCGGAAATATCCGGTCATGGGATCTGGTCACTAGCTTTTAAGGGGTGATTGGACGAGAACCGCATTCCTGTCACATTTCGGGGCGTTGAACAGAGGACTATACAATGGACGCTAGAGAGCGACAGTGCATGATATCCACCACCCCCCTGCGTACAACCCACGCATACCCCGCTCGGTACTCGCACTCGCAACACCCCCCAAATCCAGATCAGATGGTCGCAGCAAATGCCCTCGACGCGACTCACCCTCACCGACCGTCCGGATTCCAAGGCTCACGCAGGTCTCACATACACGAGTCACCCTGCGCGGCCGTACGACGCTGGGGTGACGCAGGCCATGCCGCTGTGTGACCCGGGTGATACCGGTGCCGGATCCCATCTATACTACTTCACGAGTCGAATATCTTCGATTAAGAAGGCGAATGCGATTAGCAAGGACTATACCACTGCGTGTTGGTGGAGCAGCAGTGACCCTGAGCCGTGGATCTGCGGAGTGCCCAGCGGCCAATGCAGCCTTAATTAGTGGATACCTCCGTAGACACCCTTAGTAAACTCTGGCTGTCGAGCCTGAACTCCAGTCGACGGTTCGAGTGATGGCCAGTGCAGTCAGGACGCGGATACATCGGTGGGCGCAACTGGAATCCTTCAATCAGATGCCATGCACGCAGGAAGGAGAATTAGCCGCCGTGATTCGGTGGGCTGTGATGCGATGCATGGGCAATTCCAAATACTCGGTCTGTCGGGCTGCGGTTGGTCGTTGGGTATGTCCGTCATACTGGGGGGAAAGTCGTGCCTAAGGGGAGTGGATGGGTTTGTAATGGTTGAATTGAAGATAGAGCAGCGCTGGGAAATTTCCCCAGATAATGTAACAAATGGATTGTGAGTTGTAGATCAGTTGTAGATCAAAGCATTGATAATTGAGTTTGGGGGAAGGGAAGAAGGAAAGAAGGAAAAAAGGAAAAGAACAAATGGTCCGAGCGGGCGGTGAAAACACCTCCGGGTTGGCTGGCGGTCGACCGAGGAAGGCTTCCTCTTCCTTTGCTTCATCCCTGATCCTTACCAACGATACTTGTTTATCTCCGGCTTATGCTGCTTGACTGTCTTTGACATTAACGATGGGAACGGCGTCGGAATCAGCACGTTTGTCACTGTGATATCATTCTAATTCCGCCGCTAGAGCAGCCAGCCCAGTCCTGCGACGCCACCAGGTATGTCAGCAAAGTGAACCTGAGGGGCAGCTGGGAAGCTGGCATTCGCCAAATCCATCGACCAGCAGATGACCTCCACTGCTTTCTTTCCCGACCAGGAACACATGTTCGTACCAGGGTCTGCGAGATGTGCTAGTGGCGAGTCGCCCTAGGCCATCTCATAGGCTACTCAGCGCATTGATCGCACTAGGAGCAATAGTCTGGCTGCTATACGCCGGCCAATTGAAGCGCAATGGCTAAATCGCTGGCTCCAGCGAGTGTCGCTTATTCCGGCTATTGTCTTGTCGTGTCCGTCCTGCGAACAAGGCTATTATCTCTAGATCGACAGTCAGCTCTCCTCATTTTTCTGTCGGGAATGCTAAGCTTACCTACTATCTCCAGCACACGAACACTGCCCTCAGAGGACCGAATTTCGGTCTCGTTGGGCCTCAATTTCGCTTGGCTGCTTGGCGGTACAATGCGACCTGCTCACATCTTATCACCCCGCAACAGGGTTCTCGTCGTGCCAACCGCATCCAGCTCGCATAAGCATCTCAACGAACGCCGGCCACGGTGACTGCACTGCCGTTATCAGCACGCAACAGAGCTGGACCTGCATGAGGATATCCACTATACAGCTAGGATGCTCCCTTCTCACCACCCCTGATCCATGGCGGGTTGCGCCGTCTACGAATGACGGCGGTCAGCAAACACGAGTCGGGGGTCGTGGGGGGGAGAGACGCCGAGGCGCAGGATTCTCTGGCGCAGGGGGAATCACAGCCGGCTGGCTCGGAGGGTTCGCCTGACAGTATCATGGGATTTCCTCGGGCCAGATTGACGGCGGGAGGCTGATGGTCTCGATCGAAGAATGGCTTTGTGTGCCCGGCTGAGGAACTCAATCTCACAGCATGGGGGTCCCCTTGCGAAGCTATAAAGGCGACCCCTCGCTGGTTGTCTGCCTCAGGTCCAACCATATTTTCTACACACCTGATTATTGATTCGTTACATACTTGCTTCCC